TGCACAACGGAATATAAAAAATCGTTGTAAAAATTCGACGAATGAAAATCGTACAGCCGCCCGCCTACTGGATTTACTCGACGGGCCAAGAGTGCGTTGACTGGCGACGTTCGAATTGCATTTGCATGGCTAATTCGTTGTAAGAGGGAAATGGCACCGTCGTCAGGAAGTCGTACGAAACGTACGGATAAAATAGGATAGGAAATCGTCGTCGTCGTCGTCGTCGTGAATTTCATCTCATTGTTGCCTAGCAATTGTTCCAATTAAATATTGAAATGAGTAATCTACACGATGTCTCGTTGGAACCATAGCTAAAAATTGGAAGTCCATCGATGCTGTTTTGACCTAATCGCAGAACGCGAGATGAACGATAAGTGTGCCGAGTCCTGTACGCAAAGAAAACTGCGGCATCATTCATATAAATTGTACGCCATTGATTCTCTTCTCGTTTCCCTTCGTAATCGCTCTGGCCAAAGGCACGAGGTATGTCGGTCACGTATCCGTCATTATTATTCGTCGTTCGCCAGCATCCGTTCACCGAACCAATAATGGTTTAGTTGCTTGCATCGTTTTTAATTGCAAGTTCCTTCATCCCTCAGATCACTTCTATCTCTTCTCGTCTACACTTTGATGCTCGCACCACATAAAATCGTATCTTGTTTAGTTCTTTATCGCTCCCCGGGGCATGGTTCGTCGTATCGATTCAACACGACCCGATATACACGACAGATCGATGCTGTTTAATCTCGTCGGTCAGCTTTTAGTCGAATAGTGTCAGGTAATTCGTCGTCAATTATTTGGACGGCAGTCGGAATCCGTGGAGCAAAAAGAGTCTCGATTAGGACGATTCCTCCCAGGGAAACGTGACAGAGGATTTTAATCTGTATGGAGAATAATTCGAGACTGCTCTTTCGAAGTTTCGCATCGAGGTCGAGGTCAAAGTATCGAGATTAATAGAGAAGTGCACCTCGATTTACACGTCGACCCTTTAACGCGTCACTCCGGGGGTGAACAACGGCTCGATGATCGATCAATGAAAAACGAAACGACTCTTAAATGAACGTCGACCACTCTCCACGGTATTATTATTCCCGTGCATTGAATTCTCGTCGAATTCACGTTTTCGATCAATTCTATTGTTCCCATGTGGACGTACAGAAGAAATAGTTTAACAGGATTTCTGTTTACAAAGTCCGGTCCGTTTGGTTTCATGCAATTTTCTTTCTGATTCAGTTTAGTCAGTGAAAAAGAACTGGAGAGCTGCGATCTAAAACCCTTTTTGGACTCGTTAATTCCCGAAGGGCGATGACTCCTCTGATGAATTCTAAACGAACGCTTTTGATTATTCGATCCTTCGACCGATCAGTCGTCTATCTTCTGTAAATAAACGACGCTGGTTGAATGAAATCGATGGAGCGGTCTTAAAAAAGAGTGCATCTGCACCGGGGAGACGTTTCCGAGAAGCGGAAGGTGGTTCCGTGTGAACGTGGCCTTAGATGAAGAGGCAGGTCGCCCGACGACGACGAAGGAATTCGCTCGGGGTTTCTTGCTTTATTTTTCATTATCCTTTCATACCTGCCTCTCCTTCCTTCCTGTCGTCGTCTACACGGTAGCCGGGCTCTTCTTCGTCGTCGTCGTCGCGGCGCCGTTTGCCTTTTCTTCCCTGACAATGACCTTCCACGAACTCCTCCTCCGAAGAAGAAGACGTACAATTTTCCTACTCTCTCTAATTTCCAATCGCAGCTCCAAGAATATTTCGTCGTTTCTCTTTTATTAAGATTAATAAGAAACGATATTTTATTTATTTATCGGAATTTCTCATAAACTTCCTTTAATAAAGAATATTTGATCGACGGAATTTAAGCAATTTTCGGGGGAAATCCTGAGAGGAAAAATCGAGGATTTACAGCGAGAAGATTTTCCACGAGAACACAGAGTCTGAACGATCTATAGATCTTTTTTTTCAGAAAACAGGAAGCGTAATAATTTGTTGGACGTAATTAAATTTGAAAACGTTTCATTTTACATCTGTTTCCATTTGTCCTAATTGGAAATTCCGACCGGGTAATTAACGTCCCGCGGCAACGTACGTTCCGTCGACGGAAAAAAACAGTTTTTATACGAAGAGAATCGCAGCAGTGGATAGTTTGTTCTTTTTCGGTGGAATTAAAAATAGACGTGCCGGTGCATATGCATGCGAAGAGGAGGCGAACACTTGTTAAGTGTCATTGTTGGTGCGTGCCGCACGATTCGGATTGTTCAGGTATTATTGAAAGCCCGGCACGATTGCCGCACGTCGTCATGAATATGAATCGGCAAATAGGATTGCGCTTTACACGCGAAAACGCATCGGCTCCTATCAATCCCGGTTTGCTCTTTCTTCGTGCATCGATTAAAAATAAAAACGGCAATAATTCAGTCGGTTCTATTCTTAAAATCGATGCTCGTTGGAACCATTCCAAAACTGAGTAAAAAAAGAAATACTGGTTTACCTGGAACCACCATTTCGCCTCTCGTCCTTTTTTTTTTCGTTACCCAGAAAACGGGTGGACCGTGAAATAAACTTTTCGCGATATTCCGGAAATTATTGACACGAGCGCAACGCGGATAAATAAAGTCGCCACGACGTCAGACGCCGTGAAATTAAAACCAGAAAATATCTTTTTTAAGTAAGTAAAAAAAAAAAATCAGAAAACATCTTTTTTAAGTAAGTAAAAATAAAAAACCAGACGATTTTATGAGGTGTATCGATTTTAGGTCCGACTGGATGGAAACGGAAGTTTCAGACGACAACGGATCATATTAATTAGACGTTGCGATACTTGAAATTGTAACTCAATAGCCGTGTACCGGAGAGGGTCACGTCGTCCTCGTATCAGCTTTCACGGGAACGCATTCAGACTCGGGAAGAGTTAAAATTGCACCGACGATACTACTAACGCAGTTCGCGTCTCCTGAGAAAATGAATTACTTCATCTTTCATGGTCATTCATGATTCGATGTTAAAACGAACGTCGATCTGCACGTTACGTGGCTCGTATCCAATTAGCCGACGCTCTACTTTCCGATCTCGATTACTCCGATTCGAGTACACACATCGCCCGCGGAAGAGATGAATAAAAAAAGCAACTGAGACCACGCGGGGAATGTGTGCCACGGTGATTCGACGTCGTTAGAAAGTATGACTCATTATCGAAAGCACGTGCATTAAATCTTGTTACGTCAAAGAGGTTTCTTAACCGGGAAAAATTAATAAGATTGCATGGGAATCGAGATTATGCGAAATTTATTTAGGATATCATTAGAATCGTGATTTCTTAGTAAGAAAACATTCGGCGTGAAATAACATCGAATCTCGGAATTGCTTGTTTCCCGTTTTCAAAAGCTCGCAAAAATTGAGTAAATATTTTCCCCGAAGTCTGTGTTGTTCCCTTGGAATTTTCATACTCCGTACCCATACTCTGTTCTACGTCAGTCGTGATTCAGTCTGCGTCGATCTCGTTTTGAAACAATGAAAAATTCTGCCCGGTGCATGAACTCTCTATATTTAAAATCCGAAAGAATCAGAACAGACGTTTGCCTCCACTCGTTCGACAATAAAAGCGTTCTGTTAGACGAGGGAAGTCGCGAAACCAGTTCGGCCAACGCGAGCCTAAGGCGATTAATACGATTGTTAATTTTCCCCATCGATTCAAAAGGACCCTTGGCCAAAATCGCGAAAAATCGAAGAACATTTATATATAGAATTTATAACAAAATGACAGGACGTGTCTCGACATTGAAATCGATTTAGATGTCGACTTGTAAGAAATGTATGACCTTTGACACGGTCACTCGTCGATGAAAATCCGATTAGATCTCGCAGTGAATTATTACAGGACTCGTGAACGGGGGGTTGGTAGTGTGTAATAAACGGGAAGGGTGAAAGGTCTCCTCGCGTGATTTACACGGTCTCGTAGATAATCGGCCTCCCGATGTCGATACATCGTTGGCCAATGATCTACGACTGACAATACACAATCCAGGCTCTGTCCATGAAGGAAAAGGCGTACAACGAACGGTTTATAAAATATCCGTTTAATTCGTTTGCCTTAGAAAATATTTAAGAGACAAGACAGATAAGAGCGAGCATAGAAAGTGGAATGAATGAATGAACTCTGAACCGTCTCGTGACTCGAGAAACGTGAAAAACGTGGAGAAAAATCATCTGGGGATCACGGTTCACGTGACACTCGCGGTTTGACGAGCGAGCCATCGGGACGATGGTTTATCGGTGTATCTACGATCCGTCGAACGGGTCAGCCAGTGAAAGCATCGTGGGAATTTGATTTGAGCTCGCGTGCCCCGACGGCAAGCGTTTTAACTGTGAACGTTCACCTCGGCACGATTAACGCCATTAACGTCCGACTTTGTCAGCTTTCCCAGGTACCGGCCACCAACGATCCCATAGACAAGCTCGTTATCTAAGTTTTTTCCCTGGGACGCAATTTATTTAACCACCGCAAAATTATATCACGTCCCGTTACTTTCGACAATTTTATCAAATTCGAATTTATTATGCAGCTCATTAAATAAATGTTGCTGATAAAGAAAGGCTGAAGACGCATTCGAATATTAGCATGTTCGGTCGGTTTTCGCGTGGAAAGTGCAAGGAACTCGGTCAATATTGCCAAGGCTGTGAAACGAAACTCTAGATAAACATCTCCCCCGCAAACTACACGAGTTTCTACTTATAATTATCTCGATTGTTTAGACGTGACACGCCTTTTCCCTCCGACGTTAATTAAATCAATCATCGACCGAACCTTCGTTTTAATTACTGTCTATGAACGGTAAATTTATACGTGAGAGATCTGACTTTAAAATCGAACAGAGAAACGGTAATAACTCGGTCGATTCTATTTGGGAACGTAGAGACGAAGTAGGTCGTTTAATCAAATTCTCGATACTTTTTTTTCTTTTATTAAACGAATGAATAAAATGGGACGATTTGATTTCAGCAATAACAAGAGTGGCAGCTGGCAACGCGGACAGAATTCGCAGAGGTCGAGCCCGAGTCGACTTCACCACACGCAGGAAACAGCCACGCCTCACACGGCTCCCGTTTCCGTGAGTAGATCCAAATACGTGTACATACTTTCCGGAAATTGGATCGTTGCTTTCGGTTTTATCGTCACACCCACGATTTTGTTCCGCTATAAAATATAATATGCAACCTTATTATTAATTATACTGCTTTTGTATTTTTATCATAGACTCCATATTTACGTCGTTCCCATTCTTGACCTTTCCGGTCGCGGCCTGGACAACGAAAAGGGGTAGTATCGATCATGAACGAGGCGCGTGATCGTCCCGGAAAGGCCAAGTCCCATCGCGGCGCGTTTGCGTCCGTGGGAGATCCATTAAGGTGCCCCGGTATGGGCGCCGCGCTCGGAAGAAACTCGCGTCTTCGATTTCCAATCCGAGGAATCTCGCCGGACGTTTCCGCTCTGACAGGCGCGAGCAGCATTCCCTAGGAATCTCCGGCTTGCTTTTCGAACACCGAACGCTATGCATACTCGGCATTCGCGAGATTCTCCGATTCCTCTCACGAATCTTAGACACGTCTCAGTTATGATACTCTCTTTATTTAAATAGACTAGTCTTCGGGTACTGCGGATTCATTCGTCTCGAGCGATTAACAATTGTTATGACAATCTATAATGAGTGAGGAACTGAATTAGTATAAATTTTATGATTACTCCTGTTTCGGGGTAGAAGGAAATTGTATACGACCTTTTTTCAAGGTAATAGTATCATCTACAACTTTTACGTGAAGCATTCTTCGATATTTTGAGGAAAAAAAAATTTTCGATTTTTTTGAGATTTTTCCTAAGGGGTACCCCTTCAAATTCTGCGAAAATTTCGTTTTTTGTGAATAACTCCTAAACCCTTAGAGATACGAGAAAATTGCATAGGACCTTTCTTGTAGATCTCGTCGTCCCCTACAAAATGGTTCCAAAAATACCCCTCTAAGTCCAACCGTTTGGAAGTTATCGTCAAAAAACGAAATTTTTTTCCAAAAGTTGGCTGATTCGACGGTGGAATGGTCGGATTTTGTCAACATCAATAAAATGGCAAATAATCATACGTAACTCGTTAAATACTTAAAGTAGAAGAAAAATACATAGAATCTTTCTTGTAGAGGACTTCAATACCTACAATTTCTGTATAATAAACTTTTTGCTAATTTGCAAATAAACATGCAATTATGCAATTTCCTTCTATTTCGAATAATTAAGTAGGAAAAATCGTGATTCTGGAAATCGTCTTTTCGCCTCGATAGAACAAATAATTAATTGTTTATGTCGAACCTGTTTACCTCTGGGAAAAACAGGTGAAACGGTGAGTTCCTTTCGGTAGAGTAAGCAAACTGAATGGCTAATCGAGGAACGGGGGTTCGTTCGATTTCGCTCGCGAAATCGCGTGCACGGTCGAATAATTCGGCGGCAGCGTCCAATTATTATCGATGCCCACGACAGAGCAGTTAGTCGACAGGTTTGTGGGTTAAAGTTTGCGCCTCGGGTCGCATGCAAATGTTTAATCGAGGCCTGAAAAGATCGCGACGAAAGAAAACAAGTCTATAACGATTTTAAAACTCCAGTAAATTTATTTATCTTTTTTTCTAGTTTCCTCGTATCTCTTTGATCAGTTCCTGTACTCATATCCCGCCTGTGTTCGTCTTCCGGTTTTGCCAACACGCAGGGTGGCTACGTCCGATGGCATCGATTCCGCCCCGGTCTTAATTAAAAGTTTTAATTAAAAGTTAGCATGTGCCTCGGTCTGTAAAATATTTTTCCGCGGTTCTTATTCGCTCGAGATCAGACGGAATGCCTACTCTTAATTGAAAAATTTGCAATTTTTTAACCGTGGTGGATGCTCGTATGGGGAACGATGTTTCCTCTCATTCTGGCCACTGGCTGCCACCCTCGCCAAATATTAGACTTAGCTTGCACACGTAAGCGACGACCCAGATAACATCTTGCAATCCAATTAACCGACTTTCCACCTGCGACTCTTAAAATCTTCTCCTTGTTTTCCTCAGGTTTACACTTGGTTCCATTTTTCTCATCGGCCAACGCTTCTTGTGCTTTTACGCTGACTTTATTAAATTTTATTATCTCCCTGTGAGCAAATAAAATTCGCTGGGAATGGCGTTTGACGTGGAGATCCATCGAGCGACGACCCGTGAAAAGGCAAACGGAAGTACAGAATCGTTGGTAATTAAAACAGGTCGGGAGACAATGGGATCGAGACGTTTCGGTTCGAGCCCTGGTGTGACAATGCCCCCGTGCAAGTGGCTCCTCGACCTCCCTTTGCGTGGACAGAGAGCCGTGGTCGAGTGCTTTAGAAAAATGAAAAGTTATGCTCCAGTCAGTCGATGCGTGGCTCGAATGTAATTCTATGAACCGGAACCGCGTCGTATTCCATTACGTGGGAACTCGTTTCGAGAAAAAGACCTGTTGGTCGAAAATTAGAAATACTTAAGCGCGTGTATTCTTATCTGTGTCTCGATAAGCCTGATAAAGAGCAGCGATCCATGGGAAAGAAGTAGAATATCGCAAGGCCATGGAGATCAATTATGATCCAGGGTGTGTAAAATGATTTCGTTTGCTTGCAGCCTCTGCACGATCAACGCTCGTATCTGAGCAAGGAGAGGAGACGGATTCCCGGGCTGAGCAAGGCGCAGAGGCGTATCAAAGCGTCCAGCACGCCGGCGCTCCTCGACCGCGATGTGGAAAGGTGAGCCTCGTCGATCATCTGTTCTCCCCTGGTTTCCTGGGTAACGGATTCTATCGACGAATCGCGCGACCAAATTAATTTGTACAAACGATCGTTCACCGAGGAAACATTTCTCAGTGACTCGTCCTGAACGGGAGAGTTGGAACGAACGGTGATTTCCACTTTGGTGGAGTTAAAAATAGAGAGAGCCGATCGGGTGGGCATAGATCAAAGGTCGATCGCGTTCCGTTTGAAGTGGCTCTCACCTCCGGCGACCTCCTGATCCCTTCGCGTCGGGGGTTGTTTGCCCGGTCGAGAATAAAGACGTTATGCACTCTCGCTCATGACCTGAGTTTCCATCGAGACTCTCTCTGCCTGGACGTTCGTCCGGTCGTTGCCCTAATTACCGAATGAATAGAAAATCCCTCGCGACGTACTCTTGAGTCTCGTCAAAGCGACGCCCGTCTATGCACTTCCGGTCTGTCTCGGCCACCAAACAACCCTCTAAATTTTTTATCAACGATCTTCTGCCCCACCGCAAATAGTCTTTCAAAAGGTCCAAGGCGAATCTGGACGACATCTGAAACTGAAGTCTAACACTGAAGTCTCTATCTCATCTTTCTCTTGCAAATAATCAAGCATTTGTGAAAGAAAGCTCGATGCGAAATTTAATTAAAAGTTTGATGTAAACCCCTTTTTTTTGCAAACGGATAGTTTTAAAATTTGTATACGGTTTAATTTGAAATTCGGTCTCGAGTTTTCCCTAGCGTGGATGTTTTCGAATTATTCTTTGATGCTGCACGTCTCCGACAAGAAAGAAACTTTGCTTTCGACTCCCACGCAAACTTCCTACTTTCCGACGTGTGAAAGAGCGACGAGTTTTCATCTCGTCTCCCAGAAAATTTGTTTAAAAACTGTGAATCGAAGGCACTCGTCTATCATTTTAATTTCGAAGATGAAACGGAGAAGTTGTTGAACGGGACGACACGATTCGTGTGAATCGCGGGACGATCGGCCTAAAAAAAGTCTGAACGAGAACAAAAGGCGACGCAGGATGGGGAGGGAGTATTAGCGAGGAATCCTCAAAGGCGCATCGAATTTGTGCAAGAGAAACGAGACGAGTAAAAATGGCAGCGATTAAAAGGACCCCGCGGCGGGCGGCTGTCGCTACAATGGACGAGCGTCGTCTTTTGTAGACACCGACGACGGGTGTCTCTCTTCCTCCCCCGTACGAATTCGGAGCAGCAACCCTCGTATACCTGACCGACCCTCGAAATCTGTTCTCGGAAGAGGTGCATAGACCTCGTGTGCACTCACACGTCCACGTGGGACACACGTGAGACCACCGGGTCCGGCCTTCCTGCCTTCAGTCGACCGTTGCCCGTCGCTCAATGCGCTCCTCTCAGACGTCGTTCTTCGCGTGCATCGAAACGTGGTCAGATTCTTGAACAAACGATATTAATAAACGACACGTTTTCTGATAAAAGAAAACGAATTACAAGCACCAAGGATATAATCGGTGGAACTTTGATTTCTCGATGACTGTTTTTATACTCAGGAAGGAGGATTTCCTTGAATATTCTTTAAGAGCTGAATGGGACACGCATACCCGTTGTGGTGGTCGTTCGCTTCCTGTCTAAAAGTGGTTGCAAGTGGTTCTTCGTGCCTCGAATACCGTCTCTGTTATCTCCCCTCGAAATCGTACGAGTAGAAAACATTTCAGTGCTAAACGATGTGACCAGTTTTCTTTAAAAATCACGCGTCGTCTCAAGAAATTAACTTTTAAACGCGAAATGTGTTTAAGTGTCTCCTGCGTAGAGTTTCACAGAACCAAGTTCAAGGACGTCGTCGTATAGTTATGCTAATTGCATTAGGAGTCTTCGGTTGCAAGAGGAACAAATGAGGCACGAGATGTGGTACGCCTCTTCGGTTTCAACAAATTGTTGTTCAATAAAATGTGCAAATATTCGTTTTAAACGTTTAACTAAAACAAATCTGAGGTTCTGGACTCGAAATGGCCAAACCGTTTCACTATTTTCAGTGGCGTAAATAAAATTCCTCTCGAAATCTTGCCAGTTTCCAGTGGATAATAATGATTCATTGCTGAATGAATTTTTTTAATCTCGATCATAATAAGCCATTGATTAAACGCATAATCGATCAGCTCGTTACGTACAAGCACGTCTGTTGAATCGTTGGACAATCGCTGCATTTTTTTAACCGAGATAAGAGAGCGAAGGCCGAGCCGATCGATTCTCCCGAGGAACATTGATTAATAAAAATTAATTTGTACGTTCGGTTTGTCTTTCAGTCGACAGTGGTCTGGGGACGAGGAGGACGAGGGCACGGGGCACGGGACGACGGAGCATCCGCTGGCGGAGGCGACGATTCCCTTGGTCTCTCGCCTTCAAGAGCAGCCCTCGAGTGGGAATATCGTGGCCACTTCCGGTGTACAGAATTCGCCACGTTCGAGCAGCCAATCCCAATCCCAGCAGGGCAGCGTCCTTCAGAAGTTTCGAAAGAGCTTCTCGTTGAGGTTCCACAAAAAGGGCAGCAAGGAGAGCAACGAGGGCGAGTGTCCGGTAGAAGATAACGAATCCGGTCCTCTCGACGAGGAGGAAGAGAGGGAATCGCAGCCCGTGACCGAACAGCACAAGGAGGACAACGGCAACGACCAGAAATTCAGGTACGCGCAATTCCTCGATTCGTGATTAGAAATAAATACTTGAAGTGAGTTTTGAGGAATTCTATCTGTCGCAGATTCGGTCCTCTGGTGTGGAGGAGCAGCAAGGAGAGGAAGAAAGGGAGTAAAGCTGCGAGGAACGCCAAGTGTAACAGCGGAGACAGTGGGATTCAGATCGAGGTGAGAACGAGATCGTCGATTAAAACGTAAAGTTTTCTTAAACGAAACTTTCACGAAGAAGTGCAATAGCGATCGAAAAACTTTTAGCCAGAGGTAGTATTTCCTGTTTATTCCACGATCCGTTCTCTGGGTTTGATTTGGTTCGCGACGATGGTTCGAAAAACGACCTGTCAGCCTCGAATAACCAAGTAAATTGTGAACGATATAGATGGTATCTGGTGGAGCGTTGACTGGGGGCGGTAGGGGTGGCGACAGCTCCGAGTCCCACGACACTGACGTCCAAGACGAGACGGACAGCCCGCCAACTCTTCGTAAGCGAGTCGACAAATCTCGACCCCAGTCCGAGCTCGTCAACCAGATACTGATCGACAAGTTTAAGGTAAACATCGTTCTTTGCGTGTCTACCATCCGCTATCTTCGTGAGCCAGGGTGCAACGTTCACGCTTACCATCAGGTCCACTCGAAGAAGAGTGTTTCAGGCATTTTAAACCAGTTTAAAAAATGAGCTTCTTTAAAAAGTATCTTTAAAATGGAAACACTCTCCTTTTTAAAAATCTCAGACTAATCCAGCTAACACACATCTGCTTTCAATAAATGTGCAGCGATTCGCAGCCAATGGATATTTAAATCGGTATTTAATGTATATGTGTGTACATGTTCAATCGTTAATAGCACTCGGTTGACGCAGCTTTGATTAATTTTATGCGCAATTTTAATCCACGTGTGCTCCTTCCCTTTGGTGTGATGATTTATAATTGCTGTCGAGAGCGTGGCATTGTAATCATTATCGTATGACTGTTTCCTCCGATACAATAACTCGCATTACTCACGGCTTAACCGCTGTAGTTCCTGACGCGTCGCCAGTGAACGCGTTGACCACGTGGAGAGGAAGTCGTGCTGCTAGTCACGATTTATGGGAAACGGTGCTTGAACTTTTTTCTTGATCATTAATCATACGAATTTCACTGGTACCGCTTATTATCGGTGTTTAATTCGCGTGGTTGGACGTGAAAGAGTCTCGCCGAATGACCGAGCAGTTTTCTACAAAGAGTCGTTTGTTGAACAACGGACGTGATACTTTTCAGGCGGATCTGCAGAGCCGCACGTCGAGGCACCAGCACGTACGGAGGACGAACAGCGACTTAGGAGGTCAGAGGTTGCTTCAATGGGACACGAGGTCTGGGTACAGCCACGCGCACAATTATCGTAGGATGCTGTCGACTCCGTCTCCGATCAAGACGAGGCCTCCCAGGCTGAGCCCGAGGCACTCCTCCCATGACATCGTTGCGCTCAGAAGGTGAGCACGAGGCGACTCCTTCTTTTACACCTCAAACGCCCTCATTCACTTTCCTTGCCGAAACGATTCGGAGCGATGAACTCGATCAGGCGCGATATCGATTAAACTTGACTAAAAGAGAGAGATTAAAAATCGGCCGTCTTTCTCTCGTTATCGCATCGCATATGGGACACGATTGGTGAAAGCCTCGATGACTCTGTAAAAAAACGTTGATCTCAACGAAAATTCATCGATCCAAACTGCAGCCAGTGTGTTGTTCACTGTCTGCGAACAGAAAATAATGAAATTCGATGAGATGAAAACGAACGATATTCGTTCCTTATTTTTGTTTGACTCGAGATGAATCATGGCATTATTCCATAAAAAAAAAACAAATTGAAAGATTGTCCCTGACGAAATTTAAATTCTTTATTCTCGAACCTTTCCAGTAAATCGAGGGAGAATAGTGGTAGGTAGACGGGTATTATAACAAACCACCTTCTTTTCAATTTTCCTCGTAAAAACAGTTGGTCTCTCACGCGTTTCAATATATCGAGTGGTTCTTCCGCTTGTTCAAATAACAGCATGTCGAATCTCGTCGTTTGAATCGAAGTCATTGATACTTCCGGATATCTCTCGTAAACGTAGAACCACTCTGTATACACGTGTACCTTGTCGTGTGTATATACATACATATATCTATATATATATATTACCTATCGTAATTCGTTGCTGAATGTTGTATCGATGCTTCTACGTAAACACAAAGCTTGTTGATCCTTCATACAAAAAATCTGACATATAATGAATCGAATTAATGATGATTTTATTCTGGTCCCAGTAACGCGAAAGGGAGGAGTTCCCGGACAAATCTGAGGCGTTCGCTCAGTCAGCCACTGGGTATCAATCAGCTGTCACCCCTGATGCGCACCAAAACTGCAGGTAAAAACGTAAACGGATCTCTTGGACTTCGACGTAGATCCGTTCTGTCTTCTCCCTTTCCTTCCAAGCAAACGAGTGATTATTACGTTTCGAATTCTGTCGACGACTCCGTCGTAGTCGTCGGATCTCGTTTCCTGCTTGTTCGCTTGGTAGTGAAATTACTGAGATTAGTTGCACACTGTTTGCACACGAGATAATCCGGTCTCTCCCTGTACCGCCGAGTGACTCGAGTCAGCATGCCACCCCTTCTGTATAAAAGAGATCTCGTAACGGAACGCACCCTGTAAAAAGAATTCTTAAAGCTCCTTGTATCACGTTGACACCTTGTAACGATCGCTTTACGCTTTTGAGCCACAGTAGAAATTGCAGAGAGCTTCGCAAAACATTAATGAAAATTAGACCGTCTGTCTTTGAAGTAGCAAGAGTTTCGCGAAGCTCTATGAGAGAAGTAATCATCCCCCTGTGAAACGTGATAAACGAACTTTTTAATCTTTGCTGCCGCCAAGCCTACGATGGACTACAGGGTGATATTTCGATTCTAAGATTTTTGAACCCTGAAACTTACTAATAAAAATTGCTCTGTGATGTATTGAAAGCGAGCCCAGATTTATTCTCGAACGTGCATTCTTCTCATGGTAATGACGAATGATTTGAATTTAATTCGAAGGCGCGAGGTTGCCCGGTGGCAACGTCCTGTCGGAGGACGAGCAGGACGGACGAGGCGGGACCTCTGACGACGAGATGATGTCCGACTCGGAATCTTCCATCGCTTCCTTGACGGACAGGAAGAAGTCTTTCGAGCAAACGATGGACGAGGAAGTGGTCATCTTAGCTGAAGCTGTTTGGGACCACGTCGCGATGGAGCCCGAGGAGCTGGCCTTCCGCGCCGGCGACGTGATCGAGGTTCTCGACAACATGGACAAGGACTGGTGGTGGGGCAGCTGCAGGGGAGAGCACGGCTGGTTCCCTGCTGCGTTCGTCAGAGTAAGCATCGTTTCTGTTACAAACATAATTCACAGAGATGATCTAATTTTTAATCATAACTCTGTACAGTTGCGCGTGAGCCAAGAAGACACGGTGGAGGACTGTCTGGCTGCGATGGCATCGGGCGGCGCGTCGAACTCTCAACTGAGAAGACGCACCAGCGTATCCCTTCTGTCGAACGAGCAAGTCAGAACGAGCGTAGTTCGAGAACTGGTGCAGACCGAGAGGGACTTCGTGAAGATTTTAAGGGACGTCGCGGAGGGCTACATAGCCGAGTGTCGACGGCGCACGGACATGTTCACCGAGGAGCAGATCGAAACTATTTTCATCAATCTCGAAGACCTGTTAGACTTCCAGTCGGAGTTTCTCAAAGATCTGGAAACGAGGATCGACTGGACCGCTCCGTACAAGAGCTGCGTCGGCGAATGCTTCCTGAATCATGTAAGATCTCTCGTTCCCCATCCATCTCCTCATCATCGTTCTCGGTCTCGTTAATCATCGGTCGTGATTGAAATCGTTTCAGAGAGCAGGATTTCGGATGTACTCGGAGTACTGCAACAGCCACCCGATGGCCACGGTCACTCTGCAAGAGCTGTACCAGCACAATCGTTACAACAAATTCTTCGAAGCTTGTAGATTAATGCGGGGACTGATAGAAATTCCTCTGGACGGTTACTTGCTGACTCCGGTGCAGCGGATATGCAAGTATCCTCTTCAATTAGCGGAGCTGCTGAAATACACGAAATCGGACCATCCGGATTATCACAAGATTCAGGAAGCTCTCGAAGCGATGCGAGACGTCGCGGTTCTGATCAACGAGAGGAAGAGGCGGATGGAGAGCCTCGAGAAGCTGGCCGCGTGGCAGCTGAGGGTCGAAGGTTGGGAGGTACGTAATTCATTCATCGTTTATTCGTTCTGTATTATTATTAACGGTTTTTAATTACAGGGCGAAGATCTGATCGAAGTGTCGTCGCAGCTGATCTACCAGGGCGAAGCCGTCAGGGTCACCACTGGCATGTGGACGAACAACATAATTCTTTTCCTGTTCGATCATCAATTAGTTTACTGTAAAAAGGACATCCTCAAGCGGAACACGTACGTGTACAAAGGCAGGATTTATCTCGACACCAGCGAGGTGATCGACGTTCCCGATGGGAAAGGTACGAATCTAGAAATACACGTACGTCGATCCTACGTCTAATCATTTCCTCGCGTTTGCAGATCACCAATTGGGGGTGACGGTGCGGCACTGTTTGAAGGTGTACAGCTGCGTGCGAGATAAATGGTTGCTGTTCTGCTGTCGAACGGCGGAAGAGAAGCGTCGATGGCTCGCAGCGATGGCCGAGGAACGGAGGCTGGTCGCCCAGGACAGAAACGACGGATTAGAATTCCCCGCCGCGGCTAGACAGTTGGCAAGGCTCGCGGCCACCAGACAGCAGAATCGGCCGCCGATCAAACCTCGCAGTGAGTACATCGTTCGTACTTTCATCAGTGGACGTCGTCGCCAGACGAATAAACGGTTCGATCGAATTGCAGACAAGACTTACAAGAGAGAATCGGTCTACGAGATGACGACGATGATCGGTCAGCCCACGACGAACTCGTTAGGACGTAAAGTCGGCACTTGGTTCACGTTCGGGAGCAGTAAGAAAGGTACTCGACTTCAGCCGTCCTGAGACAGGCCCACCTTCGTCCCATACATCGACTTGTAAACTCCTGGCGCGAAGCGCTCCGCGCGGAATGCGAAAGCGGAATCGTCCCGCGGACGGAAACGGAGGAGCGCATCGCGCGTCGTGTATGGAACGAAGGTCCACGTCGTCTACCTTGGAAAGATCCGTCGATGTTCCATCGATCCGAGCAGTCTCGTTTATTATATATAGTTTAAAAAACACGTACAGTTCGATAAAAGTGACGCGTGTCACTTTGCATCGTCGATATTTATTTCACTGCCTCGCGAAACGATTCTTCTGATCACGGAGCGACAAGGTATCATCGATTATTTCGAATTCTTGTAAAAAAGGAGGAAAGGCGACGGTATGAAAGTTGTGTATAAAAATTAGGAGAGCGAACGCACCTAACGCGTTGTTAGCATGTAAACGTATCGTGTAAAGCTGATGTGTACGTATATATAGCGAGGTACTGCAGAGAAAGTACTAGTCAACTTTTATCGTGAGTAAAAGGACGGTGATAAATTTTCGAGCGAGTATTAAATTAGTGGCGTTTTATAATGGTAATAAAGACTGACTTAGCCCCGCTTATGCACCGGAGATGATCGAGCTAACACTGAGAGAAAGTTTGTTAAACACAATTATTATTCGTAGTTGACTCTTAAGCGTATTCCTGGTTCGACGAGCATTTAGATTCTCTTAGAACGCCACGTGAAACTTCTCTCTATCTCTATTTCTCTGTATCTCTCTCAGTGAAACTGAACGGTGTCTCCGGTTTGGAATAATCGAGCGTCTCGCGGAGGACGGAAGGTATCAGAAGTTTGAGCATATCAAGGGGTATTTTCTAGTAGACATCGAGATCTCTCTTTAAGCGAATTTGTGTACCTTTCGCGTTCTGCGAGTCCTTGAACCGGAGACACCGTTCGTCGAGGGGATGAAGAATCTTAAACATCCTTCTACTGCCTAAAGTTATCGAGTCATTCGTATACTCATCATAGTTTGTACGACGGTCTTCGTGAATAATGGCGCGACAGTATTAATAGCAGGTATCACTGAACGTGTAAATACTCGCATATCAAGTCTGTTTTCTACTGCTGTCCTGGCAGAGTGTCTACGTGCGAGAGCAAAGAATCGTCTGAGATATCCTTCAGGTTTTTCTACTCTTGTACAGAAAGCTAAAGGAGAGACGGAGGGAACCTGAGCGTTTTTGTATGCTAGAACGTTGCACCGCCGATTCAATTAACATTTTTCGAGGGACGTGAAAGTTTTTCGACACTGCCAATATGTTAATTTGTTTTAACGCTTTAACGATCGTTTCGTTGGCGAGAATCGAGTTGGAGGGACATCGTTTCTGTATTTAATATAACGACGAGGACAATATGACGAGGTGAACGAGGGCATGATTCCTAATATACAGAGAACCATCGATTGTCTGTAGCTCGGCAGCGACGCGTTCGTCGTTCAGTTGGAGAGTTATTTTTATAGAACGAATTCGTTTGTTCTTCTTAAGCGTCGCTACGTAAGGGCAGTCGTTAATGGCCAATGTGATTAAAATTAAGGAGAGGAGCACGAAGTACCGATGATGTACATCCCATCAACTTCTGTAAATCGCAGACGGAGCGACGACACGGATCCATTCGCTTTTGTTCACTTCTGTGAGAAAGTCGAAAGCCAGTTTCCTTTGGACTAACGTGTCGTCGCTACGAACTGATCTTCTGCACAAACGTCGTGACGTGCTTTCAAGCAATAATATTATTAGGCGTTGATAACGGTTTAGGCTGTTCCGTATATATGTAAACGCATATATTTTCCCTCGGTGCGCGTCGACGTGCACGCGGGGCGTTCCGAGGAAACCAGACACGATAACTGCTTCGTTTCGTGTAAATAATTAGACATTAACTCGTAAACTGTAAATACGATCTAGAACCTCGTTAGGAAACTTGAACATGTTCTAGCCATTTAACTGAAAATCTCGATTGAACGATGTTTTTGTATATTTGTATATCTAATTTAATGATTTAAAATAATTAATAAATTACACCTTTCGCTCTCGTTCGTTATATAAATAGTTTATATTGTTTTAAGATATGTACAGTTGAAGTTACACCGACAGATTTACCATTGTTTTCGATACAAATATATATTCAGTTATACGTGTAAATAAACATTTTACAATTGCTAGATCATCAGTTCATTGCACGAAAAGATTTGTATCCTACGAGCTCTCGTTTTTACAAGATAACAACAAACACTAGCTTTTAAATAAAGAGAATTATGACCCTCCCGATTAGGTGCCGAGTATGCAACGCGGTTTCGCCAGCTGAGCCTTTAGTTCTGCGTTCTCCTTCCTCAGCTGATTCACCACTTGCCTCAGGGTCTTCGCTTCCTCTGATAACTGCGCGTTCTCATCCAACCTCTGCGATAAGCTCTCCTTCACGTCCTTTAATTCTGTGATGTACTGGCAAGCCCTCGCCAAGATTCCTCCTTTACTCTGTTAAATGTTTTTGTTAATTCTGTTGTATGTAAAATGTTTCCTTGTAGGGGAATTACGGAGGGAACAAAGGTTCTCTCTGAACCGAGCACAGCAAAGAATGCGAGAATTCATGTTCGTCGCATTCAATGCTCGTTGCATCCTGTTATTTATTAATTACCTGTAATTCGAAATTAGTCTTCATGTCTCCCTCCACTGTCGGGGTTTGTTCGCATTCCGGCAACAGTTTCCCCAATTTGGAGATCCAATTATTAATTTTATCCCTCCGGCGTCTCTCGACCTCGTTGTGCGTCACTCTCCTCCTCTCGTCTCTCTGCAAACCGGAGATCGTTTAAATAAATTCTGTCGCTGATAGAATCTTGATTAAATTTAGTGTACTGCTTTTAACAATGCGTAGCTATTAAAGAATGATTTCTATATAATCTTTGGGGGTTATTAAGAGAACTTTTAATATCCGATTGTAGAGTACTTTGAACCATGCGAACTGAGATCTTTTAGAGTTCACTTAGTAGTCATCCTGGGTCTCTAAAAATTGAACTAGGTCTCTTGCACAGCTTTAGCAGTACACTAAATTTAAATAAAGCTTGTTAACTTGTATTATCGACAGATACCGTCTATCATTCGCCTGTTACCTTTTTAATGTTAGTAAGTATGCTCTGTGGATTTTCTATCTGCAGTTTAACGCGTGGTGCAACGTTCCTCGTTTTAGACTCGGTGGCAACTTCGTTACGATTACTTAAGACATAAAATTGGGCATTTATGGGCGATGTTAGGACTTGTACGGTATTGTTTATAGGAGTGTTTATAGAATCGGTCTGCTGGCTCTCGCCGACTTGCACCACACGATACGCAACTGCGTTTTCATTCCTGTTCACTTCGCAGATCTGATATTGTATATTTTCCTCCTCGTTAACGGCCTCTATCTCGTTGCCGCATTCGATTATCTCTGCCTCTTCTAAAACCACATCAACATTTTCATTCCCGTCGACACTGCAATATAAAGTCTTTAGTAACCAAGAAATTGTTTCCCGTGTCGTGATTCTTGATCCTCGTCGCGTGACGACGGTCGTTTATCGAGGTCGAAGGAGAATGACGATAACGTACCTTTCTTCCATTCGTTTTAATTGGTTTAAAACTTCCATTTCAATTTATAAATCGAGTCTCCTTCGACTCTTCAATTCATCTCTACGTCAGAGATGGTCAGAGATACTTACACGCGTTGATACTGCGAGGGTTCGAGAGGCGCGGGACGGGGTATTTCCATAGAGATAATATAACGTTGTTCCATCTAGCGGAATCGGCTCGAAATACACACTCTGTATTAGGCAAATATAAAGTGATAGGAGGTTCCACTAACTCCTCGTGTGACGTCAGCAGCAGCGTATACGCCCTTGCGCATCCATTTGAACAACCAATCACGGACCTGTCCATTCGTTGGCCATTTTGGATTTCTAACCAATCAGAATATAATCGCGGACGCTTCACTTCGTTGGCCATTTTGTATTTCTAACCAATCACGCTTCTCATATTAGGAGAATATGAATCAAAGGAAGCACCACTAACTCCTGTTGCTTACGTCACACGAGGAGTTAGTGGAACCTCCTATCACTTTATATTTGCCTAATACAGAGTGTGTATTTCGAGCCGATTCCGCTAGATGGCGCCACTACGCCAGTCCAATACCAAGTATAATTTGGAGGAAAATGTAGACACGTGACTGCAGCAGCTGATCCGTCTGCTCCGAAGTAGAGAAGTTGTGTGGGTCGTAAATAAATTCTCTCCGGTGTAAAAACAGTTGGACGCTTCGAGCAAATTTCTAAATTCCGTCGAGCCGAAAGACCGTCGAAGATGTCGAGAGGCACCACAGCGTTCGACTGGCTGCTCGACCTGCACTCGTTCCTCGACGTGTCTAAATTCAACCCGATGGTTTCGAACTTATGGGACAAGGAGACGTTCGACGCTTACCGGACGGCTGACACGAAGATAAAAAAGTCCGACGTCCTACTGGGATATTTAATTACGTTTTGGATCGTTTTGTATATCGTGTACGAAAAGTGCCTGAACGTAAGTCCCCGCAAACGTGTCGCACGCTTTCGCGTTCTGCACCCAAGTCCTAACGAGCCTGGCAATTATCTATTTTTTTTCTGGAGAACGCGCACGGAGGACAACACTTAGCCCCGACACCGACGAGCGTCTCATATTTGTTCGTTTACATGTATTAACACAGTCGTTGCTTCGACGTATGCGCGTCCCGTTGATGCAGAGAAGTAGAATAATCGAGGCCGTGTGGAGTTGTGGATTTTGCTTTGGCAGCGTTTGCTATCTAAAGTCGCCGACGATCAAACCGTTGAACCTGTTCCCCGGCGAGAGGGACGTCACGCACGAGGAGTTAGGAGCACTCCTTCATAAAAGCTTCTACCTTCATCGAGCAGGAACGGAGCTCCTGTCCCACGGAGCTTGGATCAAGGCCTGGACCAATTTACTCTTTGCGTCGTTCGTCATGAGCCCTTACCGAGAAAAGTAAAGCTCCACCGTAACGCTAGGCTCCTCTCTCTTCAAATCTCGTCTCGTCGAGGCCATAAAAAGTCGGATTTAAATAAACGTTTAACGATTCTGTTCGCAGGTGGTGCACGGTGGTCAGCACGTTTCTATTTTACAAAGCGATCGACACGATTCTTATTAATATTTGTCGAATCTTGCTGTGTGTGTCACACTTTATCGGCAGGAAGCTGCCTAAACTGTTCTTCCTTCTGCACTGCTTCAGCTGGTGCGTGTATTATTTACAATCGACGATTTTAATTAGTTAATATATATGAGAGTTCAATTTTAGGACGTTCTTATACACGTTGTTCGTACCTAAATTGATGCTCGGGTTAGAGGAGACGAATTACACTAAAGCACAGCTCGGTCTGTGGCTGTGGTTCGTCGCGGAATGCTTGGACTCTGTAAGTCATAGCCAGAAGGAGCGAAGTTCATATTCTATTATATGCAAATTTACAGGTATGGTTCAGACTTCTGGGATGCGCGAGAGCCACGTACTGGCTGGAGATCTGCCTGTTCCCTCCGCCTACGCGAGAGGCGATCGAACTGGCTGGAATACAAAAGAGGCACCGAGAGTCTTTGAAAAAGCTTGTCGACAGGACGTCCAAGAAGACCGAACTGTGGCAGACGCTGTTCTGTAAGGACGTCCGATCCTTATTAAAATTTACACATTGACTCACGTGATCAATAATCGAATAGGTGCCGTGGCGATAAAAAAGAAGATCAAGAGGATCCGACAGGCGAAACGGAACGATCGCGTCGAGGAGACGACCGAGAGAGACGAGGAAGAAGACGTCGTCGAGCTGACGGAGATGTGAACACAATTACGAGAGACCGGCACAAAACGATCGTTCACTCTACGGGTTTATGCGTTAGTATAAAAATCGAGTTTATTCAAGAATTGTACAGATATACATTTATTCACGTAGAAAGTTCCGTCGTTTACAAATTAATATGGTGTATCTCTCTCGCGAGCGATCGACTAAATAGTTTTTTTTTTAAACAACGTTACGTTTGAGCTTGCGAAGCGTGGGCATTTAAAGACTCGGTACTCGGCACGATTACCTTGTGAACATTTAACGATTATTTATTCGTTGGATACTTATTCAGGGAACTCGTCCTCCGAGACAAATTTTACTATGTATATATATATATCTATATGTTATGCTACGCGTACAATTGTTTTTTTTTTTTTATTTAGATAATTATTACTCTACAGGCACGATATGTAAGTCTACACGGAGAATCTCTAGTTTTAGTCTCTTAATTAAGTGCCTAATCTAAAGTAACGTTGGCTTTACGCGAGGTACGGTCGCACAGGGATTCAGGTTTTGGCAGTAAACGGAGAAATTAATACGTACGACAAGCGACTGGCGTTATTCTCTGAACGATACTCGCTACTCTTGTTCAGAATAAAAAACCTGACGTATGGTTCCTAGACGTATCAACTTTTATTTCGCGATTAAAATATATGGTACACGTATTTTAAGCTAAGTCGTAATTCCGCGACGTATTTACGAATGTTGGAATTTATGTAGAAAATGTTTTACGCTCGACAAAGTTTTAAACGCGTTTCGAGGTGAGGTCGGCTGCCAGGATGTTGGAAATCAATGCGACGAACAATTCTAAGATTCTAGAAAAATAGAACTCGCAAGAACCAAGATGTTTATACTTTATTTACAAGATCTTCAAAGTTACACCTCAGTTTCTTAAACATAGGAATTTTTCTACAACCTTTGATTCTTTTTTTTTTTCTTTTTATCTTCAACCGAACTTCTCGCGACACGAAAGGAACAGATTAACGAAACGACGCCTTGTCTCGTTCGACGAACGTATACAGAGAGAATCGAAAACGGAATTTTTTTTGTCTGAAGACCGGCGCTCGCCTCTCTGCGACGAGAGACCCGTGCGAGGAAACGATAACCGCGAGATCACCCGATCCGAGGTAAAACTCTACGTGTTTAAACATAGCAGCAACAATTCTCTCCGCTTCGCGAGTCCGAGTGCTGAATATAAGGCCATTTCACGTGAATGACGACCGTTCAAAGTCCGACGCAGCATTCTTATAAAATCTGTTTCCCGAGGGACCGACCGTGTCCGAACGAACGTCGACTGGCTTTCGATTCTCATAATCGAGCTTCACGCTCACAAAATATCCGTATTCGTTTTCTCGTCGCGCTTCGTAATGATTATTTATTATATTTGTTTTTTTTTATATATATTTATATAATATATATACGTATGTATCGTTAAATTGTCATAAACTTACGTCGAGTAACTATCACTGCGCTTACTTACTTACTTCCTCGTAATATATAATTCAGTTTCTTCTTTTTATTTATTTTTTTTTAGTATTTTCTTCTATCTTTTCTCACACGTTCACCCGGAACTTTCACACTCGCTCTTTCTCTCGAACAAAGACCGAAGGCAAACGAGAAGAAGAACGTTCTACGCGGAACTGGTTTCCCTTCGAACGTCGACACTTTGTGCGTTAACTCTTTTTTATCCTCCCCTTGATTAGAAAATAAATCCTCGGTCGAACGAACAGTTCGTTTATTGAGCGCGGAAACGATTACCCGAAAGGACGAGTCAACGCAAACGTTGATTAATGTAAATCGTTGCTAGAAAGACTCGCGCTAATCATTCGTCATTGACTAGTTTTCGGAGTGCATACAAAAATGTGAAAACGTTCTCGTCGGTGCGGCAGGCATTTGCGTCGTCCTCTGTTTTTTATTTACTTTTTTCAAAACGCTGGGAATTCGTTGAAAATTCTATTTGAGAAAAATTTGTCCAAAGGGTATCTTCGTCCAGCAGCGGATCGTTGCTTTTTTTTTTTTATTAAGACGTAAAATCCTGGCTACTCACATACACTTGACTATTTTAACGATTTATACCGATTAGGCTCTACGTTCCCCCCTCGTCCTTCCTTTCTTCGTTGACGGGTACGATCAATGGAAACGCTTGACTATCCCCCGTCGAAAGTAAAATCGTGACAGCTTAGGAAGACGATAAATTATTCATAATAAATTGTATATAATAATATTTGTATTTAACATCCTCCACGTACGTGCTACTCACCCCCGATTAAAAATTCCCAACGAACCGTTCGTCGGTGGTGCTGGAACGAACACAATTACGAAAGTGTACCTTATTACGAACGTATTTACGTTATCATGAGCAATAAAAGTCGAGTCGGTGAAACTTTCTTAGGCCCCCCCTTCTAAACCCCCCGCGGTTCTCCTCTTTAGAATACGCCTCTCGTTTGCAAGCGCCTCGGATGTGGATTATTTAGAATTTATAGCGTCGCACAAGAACCACTTGTGCCTCCGTCTCCCTCATTCCTCTCTCTCCGTTTTATTTATTTTGTGAAAATATGGCCCCATTGTTACAGGCTCGATGTAAATTTCGGAAACTGTTTGAACCTTCTTCTATTCCTGAGTCTGCAACAGGCTTCGTCGAGTCCATCGATCGCGATCTCTGTCCTTCGCCTCTCTCTCTCTCTCTCTTTCTTCTCAGATCTTTAAAACTCGTTTCGATTTTATATACTTGTGTAAAATATAACGTTTCGGTCCCATCTGTTTTTTTTTGTTTTGTTTTTCTTTTCCGAGTGATTCCTCGGTGGAACGAGACTCGAGAACGGTCCTTCGAAGTTTCGTCGTCCCGCTTCCGCGATAATGAAACCGCGCGGTTTGAATTCCTCTAGGAAACGCGTTTCTTCCCTCCTGTCGAGAATCAGAAGCGAAGAAACGCGTTTCTTGGCGATGGTCTCGTTCGTCGGTTATTAGAGATCGATCGGCCGTTAGTCGTTACGATTCACGCGATAAATCGGAGACTGCCAGGGACGAAAGAGGTACTCGGCCCGTAGAAACGATCGGAACCGCGTTAAAATCGATTTGACCGATGGAAAACGGGAAGGGAGTGTCGACTGACTCTCCGAACGAACGGAGACCGGCGGTCCCTGGCCGACGCGCTTCACACTCGTTCATGGATGTTGTGCCTGCTGTGTCCTGCGTGTGCGTGTGACGGAACTGAACGATCGTCTCTCAGAGGCTCGTGTTCAAGTGTGGCTTGGCAGTGGTGGACGCGATCTCGGACAGTCGCACGTCGATGGGGATGCGGTCGTCGTACAGGGTCGGCGCCTGAAGTATGATCCCCGCCGAACCGACTACTACGGCTAGTGTAAAAATCCATAGGAATAGCCTGTCGAGCACCATCGCGACGTACTTCCAATCTTCCTTGACCTGCGCACAGATTTCAATCATCCGTCTTTCAAGTCTTCAAGTGAGAAACGAGAGTCGAACTTACTCTGGTGGAGTCCTCTTCCCTCTTGGTATGGTCGGCAATGAAACGTATACCTTCGATGGCCTTGTACAGTTCTGGGCAGTGATGCCAATGATGAAGCGTGTTACAGAGAGCGTCCACGCTCTCCTCGGTCGGCAGTTGCGGCGGAGGAGCGGCCGTCGCCGCCGGAGATCCGTGGATGCGACACGCGCTCCCCAGGTTTACCGCTTCCAATTCCCTGGCGAGTAATCCGTCATTATTTCCACGATTAACAAACGTGTGAACTGATCGTTATATCGCCTACCGAGGGTGTAATTCGTCCCGCGAATCGAGACTCGGGAACAGAACGGAGGATTCGACCAGCTCGGAGGCCGACGTCTCTACAAACAGCGACGGGTCTCGCAGCTCGAGGCCGTTACACGTTCTCACCATCACCCGTTGTCCGTGATGACCTCCCATGGTACGCTTGTCTAGCTGGTACTGCGGCCTGTCGAAACAAAATCCATTTGCAATCAACCACGTTATTACTCATGTCAATTTCATTTCTAGATTCCTATCCGTGTGACTACAAGCGTCCAAGCCGTGACTCTAAATTCAAGCTGAGCTACGTCGTCGCTAAAGACGTCAAGCGTGTTCTCTGATAGTAAGAGTTGCAAAGGGTGTGAATAGAATTTCAGAAGAGGAGAAGAGAATAGTTGAACAACGTGCAGTCACGAATGGTGAAGATCGGTGTAAATTGGATTGAAACAGAGGGAAGAGCGTGCGTGGAGGGATCATGGGAATGGGTAGAAACGCGACGCTACTAACGAACGTTCTAACGCCAGTTGGCGCGGGCCCAACGGGCTGTAGAATGATATCTTGCCTGGAATCGTAATCGGATCTCTTCGAAGACGTGTTATACCTGCGCATCACCAGCAGTCTCGGCAGTACGTGGATAAAAACGCGACGGACCCACGGTGCCATCACGTGCGTCTGTGGCGACCGGAAGTGAACATTGAGGACTACCACGGTTACGCATATACTGAAAGGCACAAACACGTTGTCACGGTCACACCCGATCCACCCGGGCGATCCAAACCGAAACCATGTTCGATTAAAAAACCACTTCATGTTCACCGGTTTTCCTCTACCTCTGATTCGTTCGCATTCGATTCGAACGTAAGACAATTTGAAAATTGATCGATCGATGAAACAGTTTTAATCAATGGAATATAGTTTGAGCTTGTGATCGTATCGAAACATTTCTTTGTACCTGAACGTGTCTAGGATCATGGTGAAAAGGACGAATTTACCGAGAAGCGGTACCACGAGCGATGTGGGCGGGATAATTTCGGCCAGCAAAAGGAAGAACACGGTCAGCGACAGTAAAATCGAAATTGATAGGCTGACCTGCAATTAAACAGTCAATCGTTTGACAGAGACCAACGGGAAGGGAGAAAAAGATCGGAGACAATGTCCCGATTCGATTCGCGGTTACGAGAGGCTCGAGTGCAAAGCGAGTCGCGACAAAAGGACGGAGGACCCTCCAGACCGGTAGAACAAAACGTTCTTTTCATAGCGCGGACCTCGAAACGTGTTAAGGTCGTTCCTCGCGACGTTCCCCTCTTTTAATTTTCTACGAACGTGCAAAAGAACGCGGACGATCCGCGGACGGTGTCCCGTCGCGGAGCGTCGGCCGACATCTGACCTTCTCCCTTTTCTCCCCCGTCGACGCCCACGCTTTACCCTTTGGGCCGTTTCGAGGCGGAACAATACGACTGAATTATAGAGGCGGCGGCGGCGGCGGCGAGTGGGTATCGGCGGCTCGAGGTCAAGAGTCCACGAGGAATGGAGGTCGAACGGCATTTAGAGGTTTGCATTCCGACAATGGATTTTGATATTTCACCCTCTCCACCCGGAATTCTGGTCGAACGAGTCTACTTCCTCCGAGATCCACCGATACACCACGACGTCACAGACTCGCTTTCCACTCGAGCGTGAATTACAATATAAATAAACAATCGAGATCGCGCAGCGGCGACTTTACAAGAACTTAGACTAAACGATTCTTAATTTAGAACACGCGAGAGACTAAAAAGTTTTCAATCTCGACGGACCGCTCGGTATAAAATAATACATTTCCTCGGAGGAGCCACTTGGAGAGTTGACGGTATCAAAATTCTCCTGTACCAACTTTTACGAGGACGCGCATAAAACCGTGAAGCAGCGCAGACAGCCCGCGAGAAATTGATTACGCGCGTGTGTATTTGATAAGAGACGTCGAGTTTTTCGTTCGGAGACGCTCCAGATGCCGCCGCCCGATCCACGAATTTAATATCCTTTATTGGCTTTACTTTCCCCTCGAACCGAGCAAATTTATCGATACAACTCTTCTTCGTGCTTCCTATATTAAACTCTGACCTTCTGAAGTTCGATCGTAAATCGCCGCAAACTATCGAGCTTAAATTTTAAATATTCGGGTTTAATCAAATCGTTCGACTCTCGACGTTTAAATATTTTCTAATAAAACCTGTAGTCCTCCCGTTTCGTTGACAAATTTATTTATTTTTATCGCGAGTTTACTGGCTCGTTAAAAATTCTACGACCGTCCAAATTCTCCTATCTGCCGGTAAACGTTCCGACGCTCGGAACCAACGAGGTAATTCTAAAACGGTAAAATAAATTGAGACGATGAAACGTTCGTTTTGAACGCTGCACTTGCCTTCTCGCCACTGTCGCTCGGCAGGTAGAAGACCAACACCGTCAGGAAGGAAATCCCCATGCAAGGTATGATCAGGTTCACCGTGTAAAACAGGGTCTTCCGTCTCATGGTGATGTTGAACGTGATGTCGAGGTACGGCTCGTCGCAGCACGTGTAAAATTTTTCATTCCTGTCAACGAGAGATTCTATTTTATGTTCGATAATTCAGGAGTGAAAGGAGAAACTGCGTGATTATTGAATTCGTATTTCTGTTTCGCAGATCGGACAGAAGCTTACCTCACGGCTGGGACTTCGAGGATGTCCCACTCGACGGACGTGTAAAACTCCGACAAATCGACGCCGATGTCGACCACGTTGCTGCCTCGAGCCTCGTCGATGTGCCGCAGATCAACCTTGAAACCGAAATTATTCATTTCGCACGTTTTTATTTTAATTATTTCTTTAGCCCGTCGGTTTTCCCTGTTCTTCAACGGGATTCGTATTCGACCGGAACGCAAGGTCAATCGGTGTGAAACGTATGAACAGACGAATATCGGTTTGCAAGGAAACGAGGGAACACAGGGTCGAGAGGGCCCTCGATGCTCCTGATATTCGTGTCCGTTTCCGTTCAGTTCGAGTTAACGAGATTCCACGGCGCGACTGCACCGCTGGAATCCTCGATTATTCCTTCGGGACGAGACACAGAGATGCTGCGCCATTTCGCCCGACACTCGACACAGAAATCCCGGCCAAAATCAGGCGACCCTTTACGTAACCGTGTTTCTTTTCACGACGTACGATTTAAATTTCGTCGAAAATATAAAAAAAACTGATAAATGACGTGGAAATTATTGTACGACGAGACTGAATAATTAATCGATGAAACGGTGACGTTCAACCGTTCCAGATATCGATAGAGGAAAACGACCCAGCTCGACGGGAAGCGAGATCCACGTGTGGGCATGTGTCCCAGCGAGGCGGATCGTTAAAACCGTCTCACGTGATCATCCCTTATGGAATGTCCATTTCGTATCCCGTACATAACGCTGATCGATCGGCATGTGCTTCTTATTAAATGAACCTGATGGATATCCTGTTCCTATCCGCCGTCTGATGACGCATGGACAACGCTCATTACACACGCGCGGCCGCATATACATTATTCATCGGCCGGTAGAGATATTTTACGCGATACCGCGCGACAATCGTCTACCGATGACGACAAACCCACTTGTGGCGTTCGACGCTTTTCTTCCCGTTCCCGATCGTACGATCGCTCCTTTCCACCTCTGTTCCTACGGTGTCGATCATTAATTTATTTTAATACAACAACAGCGTGTCAATTATTGTTGGAAATAAAATCTCGCAATTAATAGAACCGGCGATCGCATGTACCTCTGGACAAGATATTAATCGTTGGAAATTTATGTACGTTCGACGCACGTCCGAGCCTCCTGTACCGAGCTCATGAATAGTGATGAACCGTCCACGGTTTTCGCATGAACCGTGGAATAATATGCAAATAAACAAACGTCGAGCGTTTCTCGCGTACCGTTAATCCCGTCTTCTTAATCCAATTTCCGGCCGCGCGGACGTCGTCTCTCGTCGAAAATTTTGTGGCCGACTGGCCTAGCGACGAGCCACATGGCCCTTTTGGCAAATGTTCTTTAGAAAACCGATTCTTCTGACAAGAGATAAGATAAGGGAGAGCCGTTGAACGTCTGTTCGAGCGGAAGTCTCTCGAGCTATCAATTGATCTGAATAAATCTTGTGAAATCACCAGTGCTAATTATTCTGTTACCTATTCCCACAATTTCATAAAAATCTTACACGTTTAACGTTTATCAGATAAAATATGTGGAAGTTCGTTAAAATTCGGAACGCGAGGACGGTCGTTAGTGGCGGTAAGAAGAAAAAGGCTCACTTGGAAGCCGTCGTAAGTCCACGAGCCGAACTTCATCACGCAGGTCTGCTCGTCGAACGGGAAATATTCGACGTCGATCTCGCAGGAAGACTTGTATATCGCCGGTGGCTTCCACTCGACCCTGCCCGTGTAATTCAGCGTCGCCTTCGTCGCCAGCGTCACCTCGAAATTACCGTCGGCGCTGTCCAACAAACGTACCATCGTTATTCCTCGTATATTCATAGCAACGAAAATGGGAACCGGACTCACTTGTTGTATAAAACTATATCGGGCCTCCATATATGGTCGGATGGCACGTGGAGCATCTCCACCCCGCCGTATTCCTTTGGATCCCACTTTAACTTGTAATCGTACCATGACTGAAACAGAAATCGAAAACATGAAGAAAAACCTGATTGAAACCGAACTCTCGTTTGCCAATCATTGGCTCGTTAATTCCGTCGATTGACCAATTTAAAATTATATAAAGTCCGATTGACTTTTGCGGTGGGTCGCTAGAATTTCAAATCTTGAGAGCATTCGGTCAAGAGGATCGCAGTATTTGCGGGCCATTAATCCGTTAGGTACTGTCGCCGGGTAACGAGCGTGAGTACATAAAGACGAGCACCGATATACGTATGATCAACTCAAATATTGGTGGCTCGTCGAGACCCAATGCTCTCTCGCATATATTAATCGAGCCGTAGTCGTGTGTAACGAACCCTCCAAGGGGCCAAGGCGCACGCTTCTCCTTCGAATTTCAGTTTACAGACTAGATCCACACTCGCGTCATCGATTTTATCGACAAACTATTCACGATCGACCAATGTTTAACTTCTCTTTAATTTCTCAGGTCCGGCACCGTGATATGAGTCAACGATAAGTCAGACGCTCGACGAATTGGCACTGGCGACTTTTTTTATTTATTGTAATTTATATGTATTTTCAGGGGTCGTATTTCTGCTTTAAAAACGATTTAAATGACGTCTTATACCAGAGAGTAAATTATTGTAACGCATAAATGCGAGACGCAATTTTTGTTTCATTTCGTACGTCTGGCAAGTAGTACGAGTCAACGATATGTCGGGCATCTTATAAATTACCGTGTTGGAAGTATTCTAACTGGTTTTAATCATCGATTACTGATTAAAGAACGACTAAATTGACGAATTGAACGATTAATTGAATTATTGTAATACCAACAAGGAGAATAATTGACGGTGGACGAAATAATTTCCACGATTTTTCCTGAAGTAATTTGAGGTAAAAGGAAACTGTATACGACCTTTTTTGAAGGTAATAGTAGTACCTATGACTTTTACTCAAAGCATTTGTCGAAATTCCGCGAAAAAAAAATTTTCGATTTTTCCGAGATTTTTCCAAGGGGTACCCCTTCAAATTTTGTGAAAATTTCGTTTTTTGTGAATAACTCCTAAACCCTTAGAGATACGAGAAAATTGCATAGGACCTTTTTTGTAGAGCTCGACGAGATCTACAATTTCCCTGTAAAAACTTTTCGCTAGCGTTAATAGTTAACGAGTAATTTGCAAAAAACTGATTTTTCGTTTTTCGTAAATAACTCGTAAACTATTAATGNGCAATAAATAGGTTTTCTAATTCCTTCCACGTCTTCCCGATTATGTAACAATTTAATTGACACATTGCATAATGAATTGCTCGATCGTCAACGTTTAAATAAAATCCAAGAATATTTTTAATTAATGCTAGTTACATCGGCATTATTTGGTCGAATTTGCTGAATGCTCAGAGCTTTCTTGCCGCGCGTTAATTAACATTCTGTCGCGTGTTCCCCTCTATCAATTAGCTCGACGTTGTACCGTTCCATGCAATCATTCTTCCTCCCCCATCGTTCCTCCATTACGCTTTTTTCTTTTATCCAACAACGTAGAAAATGTTCACATTTTTATTCTCGAGAGAACTCGACTTTTAACAAACCGGAGTAAAGATAATTTTAATTCAAAGACAAAGTCCGTCGTGTGAAAATAATTCCACGGTCGCATATCATTAAACGAAGACCATTCGTTAGAAGGGAACGCGTCTGCGTATGTTCAGTGTCTGGTGATGGTACGGCAGCATTGTTTTGCGCCGATGGACGTACGTTACGGACACGGATATGCTCGGTAGAACGAAAATCGGACAGAGGGTTCCACTGGAGAGTCGCAAAATAAGTCCGGTGAACCGTGCAACCCACTTTCGTACGCTAGATTACGTAAGACAGACGCCCGTCCGTTTCCACCGCCCCCGCTTTTTTATTCCTTATTTCGCGCGACGTCCAAAACGATGTTAGTAAAAATTCAGAAAAACGGAGTGCTCGACAAATTTTCTGTACGTAACAAAGTTCGTCGAACGAGCATTTGCAATTACATTTGATATACCGTCGCTGTTTATTTAGAGGAGAGGATAAAAAGATGTTACAGGGAATATTTGAGTATTATCGTGTACGCGACTCGATTATCGTTCTTTTCACGAGTGCATCCCGCGTTCCACGGGCTGCCAACAGCACCGGGGCTCACTTTGTCCGCGACGTTCAACAGTTTTGACGCGTGTCAGGCCCTCCCATCGGATCAGCTTCCCGGTGAAATTAATTAAAACCAAAGGAACACGACGACGCGAGAGCGAAATGCCCCGGATTACACGCGCGTTTCTCTCGTTTACATTGTCCTCTTTCGAGGGGAAAAAAAAAACCAGCGCAATAATTGTTTTGATGAAATGGAGGAACGATGGAAGACGTAAAACTTCAACGACTTCAACGACTTCAAGTAGAGATCGCTCACCTGCTCGACCCACAGGTTCGTCGTCATGATTTGATTCTTCAGGTTCTGCGACAGAAACGGTATTCAAGATATGAACGATTCTTTTTATTCTCACGGTTTAATTTGCAGAATGCTTACCACGTCGATCAGCTGGGAGAGCTTGAGCTTGATTTTAACGGTGAGGGCGTCTGTGACGTTGACCACTGGACGAACCAGCTTGTTGTAATTCGACAGGAGGTCGTCGTACAGCCGCTTCGCATCCGGATTTCCTGAGCATCCTGAGATCAAAGGAAACAGAATATTAATTTACAGGAAGAAGAACCGGTCGTTTCGGATGTATTCCTACGAACGTTTGTGCGGTTCGTTTATCAGGCATTATATCCGAGGGAGAACTTTTTCCCACGGGAATACACGAACGCTGGACAAAGAGCCGTGAACGGTTTTCGATAAAAACGTTCGGCCGAGAGTGATTTAACGGGTTTCCGCCGATTTATTCACGCAGAAATGGAAGACAAACAAGGCCAGTTTCGGTTTCGATATCGGGGGACGCGCAAACCGGATGAACAGTTGCCCCCGCGTTTCGATTCATCGGCTCTCTCCTTTTTTACGCCTCGTCCGCGATTTACAGGCACGAGATCCATCGATTCATGGCAAGGTTTAATAAAATAATAATTGCAGGGACGATCTCTTACAAGTTTGAAATCTGCTTCTATTAATTTTCTAATAGATTTCCCTGGCAAGGCCCGGCGAGTATTATTTATCCTCTCCGAACGTTTATTATATCGGTGTTTTACGAGCTTCCTGGACTGCTACCAGGACGGTTCGCACGGCGCGGTTTCAATTTTGAGACGGTGCCAGCGTATTTACCATCTCCTATTGATACATCATTTTACGATATTCCCTCGACCGTGGAACACAGGACCAACCGTTTTTATTACAGAACGCTCTGTTTTATAATTCCTTTCAATCGCATCGTTCGCCACGTGGAACCGCGAGACGATTCGTATTGATATCGTAACGCGGGGGAGGTAATAGGTCGAAAGATATAATGATAAACCGTGGCAGGAACAGATGGGCATCGATTCGATCGCAATCTTTCGTGAGTAATCGGTTAACTAGCCGGAAATTACGTGCTCTAGGGTTCGTTTTCGTGGAAGCGAGTTGCACGAACCTCGAGCACGAACGAGCACGACGTTTCAATCCGGAGTCATTGAAAAATCTCGATGGTCAAACGAATCGGACGAAAGGAACGACTCCCGGTAAACATTCAAACGAAAATTCTCTTCTCTGTAACAGTTCTCTCTGTTCCGTAGAAATCGACGAGCTTTCAGAACGTAAGCGACGTACGGCGACCGTTTGTTATCGACAACGGGAATAAAGATTCGTTCCAGCGGACAGACAGATTTCTGCCGTAAACGTTAATGCAATCAGACTGCACCTTTTTTCCTCTTGGACGGTTCGATCCAAGGAGACCAGAGCTCCTCCACGAGTACTCGTTGCACTTTTCGTTGCTCGTATTATTAATTTCAGTGATCGATTCGATACGTGGTGTAAGAATTCCGGTTTAATCTGTGCGGAATGGAAGAGAGAGGTTTCGATCGGAGTCGACGTCCGTGAAATTGTTGCTGCCGGGGCCAATAAGAACGACCACTGTATTACCCGGGACGATATTGCTTTTTCGCGCGAGACGGGGATTGCTCGATGAGCCGGACATATCGAGAAATATCGAACGTTTAAAAGACACTCCACTCGAGTATCCACTTGCACCGATGTTTATTCCCCCGGGAGGGAAAAACCGTCGGCAAGTTTTCCAGCCGGGATTTTCAACGAGCTTCCCGATACGCCTGCCGTTCAAACGAGCTCTCTTCCACGGCTGTTCCTACTACTTTTCTTCCTCTCGCTCACGTACAGCAACGAACAATGCGATGGACGATGCCTAGCGAAAGAGTCGAGCTTTCCAGCGTCCAAGACGAGCAACCGAATTCAATTGAATATCGTCGCTGCGTCTGAAGCCGCGATCAACTGACGGAATCCAGACTTCTCACGTCCCATTGTAGAGAGGCTTGATCCGTTTATGGCGCGAAGCCTATCATCTCCAGACAATGAGCCAGCGAATATAACCGGCGACGAATCTACCACGATGCATATTCATCGAGGCCATTCGCATGTAAATGTTTCTCGACGTCAACGTCCTTTTCTCCGACCGGACGTCGTTTCACTCGTTTAAATTCCGGTTGAGAAAAAGGAAAATTCGGATTCTACGAATTTTCTCCATCAGTCTACTTAAATAATAATAAATTACTGACTGTTCTAGTTGCTCGCGAGCTCGAAAGGCGCGAACCTTATCGTCGGACAGATTTATTGGACATACCTGATATGAGCACCAACACTATCCACATGATCCCCACCAGGCTCTTCATCATGTCATTGTGTCACGTCCAACTCATTTCTTCTCGCCTTCGTGCTCCCCGGACCCTTCAGTTCTACCACTGAAACAGGAAGAACCAGACCCTACAATTAGACATCGAACACGTTTCTCATTGCCCCAGATTCGTCTCCCCCCTCCCAATAGGTTCGATCGCCTCAAACGATTTTTATCTAAACGTACGAATCGTTTTTAATGAATTTCCCCCGGAAATTGGCGTTGCTCGTTAAAACGAATCTAGTAAAAAGTAAATTGAATCGCTTATCTGTTCGAGCTACCTGCGTCGTGTTAATTAATCACTGATACGCATCTAACGTATCATAGGTGCAAAACTAGCCACGGTGCTTCGTAATCGTCCGCCTCGTAAATCATTCCGAGACCAAAAGAAAAACACGTCTTCTGTTTCATACAGAATTGTTAAACTCTGCGTTGTCAGAATTCGAATCTTCGTTTCGATAATTCTTACAGGAAGATTAAAAATGTGAAGAATTGTTGGTGTTAGTATCTGGGAAGCGAGTTGCCAGAGGACGAGAGTGAGCAAGGATAATAGTCTGCCACTCGAACGACTTCCCCGGGGAGGTTCTATCGGTGCTTGGTTCCAGTGACGGTGCAAACCAGGCGTTTTCGACGCTGCTAGAAGAGACGACGCGATTCTGTCGAGAGACCTATCGGATACACTTCCTAAGTCCTGTTAAACTTCAATGCTTTTCGTCCCAGACGCGTGGCAACTTTTCAAGATAAATGCCTCGTGCAATTTTCATGCGGTGTATAAAAATAACAACGACTCGCCTAAGTTTACGATTAATCCCAAGCGTGTAGGCGAGATTTTCGCGAAGCTGAATAAATCCGATTGGCCGAACGGCTGTTTAACTCGCGAAGACAGGGAAGAAATTGAAATCGTAAGCGAGCGAGGAGGCACTCGGTGGCGTAACGGCGCATAATTTCGCCTCGGAGTTAAAGGGTTAAGGCTCTCTCGTCACGCGTGACGGGACTCCAGCGAACGTAGCAGATAATTAGCCGGTCTCGAGGCGTCTACCACCGGAGCTGCTCCCGACAGAGACGAGTCCGATCGATCTCGCAGAAATAACTTTCGTTGCCACGACAAAACTCCACTCGATCAGTAAAACTCATCTTCACGGATCTTCCAGACGATAAGAATATTTTACAATTTAAAACATTCTTTTAACATTACAATAATTGTGACGCAGTGTTAATAAAAAGGTGGTCGGTTCGAACTTGTGGAAAGGCGAGCGGCTTTGATCTTATCAATGAAACCAGGAAGTGCAAGCTCCGTAGAAATCGAACGTATTAGAATTCGCTTGCCACGCGGGATTTTCACGAGTACCCGGAAGCTCCCAATGTTTCATGCGAAATAACACGTTTCTGGCCTACAGAGAATGATCGATGATTTGCTTTTAGAATTCTTGCACGTTTCTAGTGTTACTAGAAATGCATGAAATTTTAAATTGAACAGAATTCGTAATAAAAGAAACACCGATTGTATCTGATAATTGGCAATTTATATGAGAATCGAGGAAATCACGATCGTCTTCTAAACTTCGATCGATGTTGTATGATTTATTGCCGGCTCGCAAGTCCCCTCATCCATCAGTGTCCGGAGGAAAAAAACGAACGAGTATCGACCACGACTCGTCGATACGTTTAGCGCCGTGATTACGAACCGCAGTGCTTTTTAGCCTCGTCCCGAAAACTTGTTACCCACTGTCATTCAGGGCATAATAACGGCATTACGAGATTTCGCGGTGGGAACACCGACAGCAATTTACTTTAAAGCCCTCCGTCGGAAAATGAATTAAGACTCTCGAGATTCACCTCTCGATTCGACTCGGATAATAATAATAATAATGTGGGATTTTATTTGGGAACCGGTATTTAATTGAAATAGATATTAACCGCAGCTATTATAAATACTAATTTCTAAGTATTGTAATGTTTCAATAATAATTCGTATTCTTACACTTTAAACATATTCCGACGCGATATTACATTTCAACGCTAACGACACGATTACAACGCTAACGACACGATTACGACTTGACTCACCGCAGTACAGTTCGTTACTGGACTCGACATTTGACGACTCTCAACGTTTCACGACAACGATTCTCTTTTTTATAATAAACAACATTTTGTCTAGGAGACTAACATGAACAATTTGTTAATTGGTAATGATATGAATGATAAATTAGATGAACGCCCTCTATCCCACAATAATAATTTACGAATTTATCGAATTTCACTCGACTATTTTTATCACTGGTCCCAACTTTTGCCCGGACTAACGAAATTATCGATTCGTATTTACGCGTGTTTGTTTACCCCCTCAAATACGCTTGTTTCGCATTGTTTGTCCGCGTGCTCGAATCAACAATTTCTGCAAATGTTCCGGGGAAAACTCGCGGATAAAATTCGAGAGGCAACGCCGAATTCGCGATACGTTAAACGTTGTTTGCCAATTTTTAACAGCGTCCGCCTCTCGTTAGGGAATCTTCTGAATCTAATTTGGAAAACAAGCGGAAGGCCGTGATCTACGGAGATGATCCGGATAGGGGGGAGGGGCAAAGTTTACGTTTGAAATTTCCGATTAATCCAGGGGGTCTGGAGTGGATGATTAATTTTGCACGAGGCAAATGGACGCGGTTCCCGGTTGCATAGTGCATGAGCCGAGTTTTCTCAAACGTGTCGAGCTGTTTACAGAGGTTGGCCGCGAGGCCGGAAGTCGTCCGTAAACCATGGTTAACCGAACGAGTACGTGTCCGAAACCTCTTGCCGAAACTTAAATTCACGACCACGCTCCCGCGACGCCTCGGCTGACACTCACTGAGTAATACGACCTGTCCCACCAATTTTATGCATAATCCCTTCGATAGATCGACCACGGGCTCTTGTAGGCTTCCGATAAGAACCGTCGTCGTTGCGCCATTACAAAATGCACCGATCAAATTCTAAGTCTAAACAGATTTTAAACCACTGATCGGAAATTGATGGACGCGAGGGGAAGTTCGTGAAGGGAAGGACGTAATTATTCATGAACAGGGGATGCATTTTTTATATCCTATTAGATCTGTCAATTATTTGCAGGAGAGGAGATCGAACGGCGCATAAATTTTTCATACGCGAGTATTAAACGTAGAATTAATTTCCTTAGACAAACAGTAGATTCATTTATGATACTAAAATACCGATGAAAAATATTTGTGATTAAAGAGGAAACTCGTGATACGCTTCGGGGATTTGGACATTTTTTACGAGGCAGATTTAACAGCCTGTTTCGCCTTGTTAGTACCCAGAAGGGATCAACGGAGATAATTCATGGACGTCGTAATTCACGTGTAACGCGACCGGTAATTAACGTTCTACTCTTATTTTTAGGATCGTTTTTGCCAAATGGATAAACGCTCGTTACACGCCGGCAATTTCTTCTTGTTAAGCAGAGATCAGAGTCAAATTAGTTTCATCGACGATGAACGTGTAAATCGAACGATTACTAAAATTATTCACCAACGGAGAGAACAAAAGAAACAAATTGAAGAAACGCAAGGATAGAAGGAAGCCGTGAGAAAACCAGACCTCCTTTACTCGGATAATTGAATATGAAAAGGATAGGAAAGGTTCCGTGGGAATCCGGAAGCGGCCTACGGGCCGATTCCACGGGAGAGTGGTTCCTAGTGGAATCGATTCGACCGGCTGGCTCATGGAAAATTAAATATCCACTTGCCTCGAAAATTCCTTCTACCATTCGAGGACCTATCGATGATATCTAACGGATTCCCCGCAGTTCTTTTCTCAATGCAATCGCAATCTCTGAGTGCAAACGTGAATTAAACGTTCCCACTGTTAGCACCAATTTCACAAGCTTTCTTCTAATACGACCACGTAAATGTTTCTCGGGTCCATTGCCAGAGAGACCCTCGAGCTTTAACGGGACTCGAAATACGTGCACTAATTCGATGCTCCAGAAACGATGGATCGCATTAAACCTACGAATTCACTCGTTTTCGGACTTTTGTCAACTTCCATAATAAAATACTTATTACGCTAGAGATCTGTACGTGCGCGCGTTTGTCAAGTTTGATAGCAGTTCCAGTTTGTTCGAGCATTTTATACTTGACACGGGAGGGAGCGAGAATTCGTTGCGACTCCCTCCCACAGGAAGAGATGGCAGATTTCCAAAGGGAAACGCGTTCCGACGCAGGATGCAAAAGGATCGCTCGACTGCATCAAAGTGCCGCTATCCAATGGCGCAGAAACCTGCTGAACCGTGGCGAGCGTGATAACAACCATCATTCCTCGACTCAAGAAAATTCTGTTCTACGAATCAAAATATGTGCGCCACGTTTTTATCGTCGAATCAGACGTGTGGAAACGGAGATCGAATGTAAATCTTTTCTAATTAATTAACGCGAACCCTGACGAGTTTCTAGAATTTCGAGTTTAATTTTTTGTCAGTCGTCGCGTCTTGGAACGATGAAAAATGAATGCTACCCTGCCAGCCATCCATCCATTTATTTGTCCATTAGATACAGTGGCGAGAGAGCCGCCCACGTTTCGCCGCCACCCTCTCAGGATTTACGATTTTCGGTAAATTGAGTTCCGGACAGCGTTGCGACAGATCGTCGAAATGGAAACGTCGATGAAAAATATTCGCGGAAACCCGAGAACAAATCCGGTTCCATCCCCCCTTGCGGGATTATAAACGATTCGTTGATTCTGAAAAATAATCTTTCGCTCTTTCTAACGTCCGTTCGAACAATAAATAATTTCGTACACCTGTTGAACTCCCGTCATTTCATGACTCTGACAAATTTTTTTAATCAGCTTCTGCTTAAAATAAAGCGAAAACTGAATTCACCTGTTGAATTTCTATGCAGACTTTTACGCGAGATCAAATCTTTTCACTGAAAAATAGCCAGCTTTTATAACAGATAAACAATCAGATGGTAATTTGTCCAAAATATTTTCCAGAGACCGAGGATTTTAGGTCGATTTAAATCGATCGATCGATTCTAAGTAGGAACGAACTCTGACAATTGGAACCGAAGG